GAGAGAGAGAGAGAGAGAGAGAGAGAGAGAGAGAGAGAGAGAGAGAGAGCTGAGGAAAAAGCATAACAGAGGAGTGTCGAGAGACTTGTTGCTGGGACGCAAGAGCGAGCGAGTTGTTAAACAATTTTGCATGGCCATATTACCAGAGTGTCGCTATCGGCATCTTCAGTATCGTTATCGCGTGCCCGTGTACCGCTCAAGAATATCGTTGCCGAAATTCGACAAGAGAGCGAGTGAGAACACCCGCCACCAACGGGAAGAGCCGCAAGCGACCAGGCCCAGGAAGTCAGCTACGAGGGTCAAAGCTGAGGATCGAGCTCCGGAAAAACAACCACTCGTTTCCTATTAGTGTCGTGACCGTTATCGTATTGTCCTGAAAGAAGAGTGGTGCGTAGAATATATCGGAGCCGGAAAACACCGGTGACCCGGAAAAAGGAGATTCGGGATCCGTACCGTACCGCGACCATCAGGTATCATCTGGCGAGAGTTTTGTGTATTGTATCACGAACAGATTGATTACCGAATCGTTGTAATTTCTCGATTATCAGGACGAACGCGTCCCGAAAGAATAAACGAACTCTTTACCGCCCGCATTGGCTTATACTTTGTCTCGACCAATATCGGTGCTGTGAGGGATCTATTTTATGTCAATGTTGCAATAAAAATAAAAAAGTTTTCACATTATTTAATATATATTTTAATTACAATCATATTTTGTATTGTTAGGAATAGCCCAAGTCAAACATAGTAGTCAAAATTATATTTAATTTTTTTGGCTGATAATTGACATAAATTTGTTCAATGTTTGGTCAAAATGATGTCAAATTGATATCATTTTGTTTCTTATGGTTTACTTGGAAATCTATAATGCAATAGAGATCGTACTAAAATTCAATAAAAAATTAAACGTCTAAAAATCTATTGCACATCCATAATAGATGTACAATGGACGTCCACGATTGATATTATATGAATGTCCATCATCGATGAATTATGGACGTCCATTAGAGATCCACTTATCGTCCACCGTGGAGATGGATGTCTGGTGGAGCTATGGATGATCTATAGACGTCCAATGTCCATATTTTGTTGATGTTTTATTTTGTGTGAGTATGGATTTTAGAAACATAATACAAACTTAAGGATAAAATATACTTAGCATAAATCTATTTATTATTGATACAAATGAATATTTTATATATGAAAAGCTATTTTAACACCAATTCCTTTTCTTTGCCCTATTATATAAAACTATATAATTAATTCCACGAAATATAAATAACAGTGAATAACAATAAATTAAACAATTTATATGTAAATATGCAAATCAATTATTACACACTCACTGGCATGTACTGAATATAGACGCTGACATAATGCCGCTATTTTCTTTTTTTCATGTATGCATCATTTCTACATATAGATATATGAATGCCAGTGTGTGTGCTACGTTGTCACTTCAATTTTCTTACACATAGACGTTACATAAATGTGAATGCCACGTTGCTGATATTCGCATTCTCTCTGAAATAGGCTTTCGCTGCTTTTCTGATAAATTCTTCAAACCGCCTATGTATTGGGTGAATCAAAAAAAGAGTTTTTTTAGAGAAGTTCTACGCATAAATGCAGTTTACGAATATTGTTTTGAAGAATATGTTATCTAATATGTGAACTTTCTTTGTAATTTGCAATGGAAATTTTAGATATCATTTTAGTTATACACTGAGCAATGTTTCACTATATTTTCGCACGTAATTTTATCTTATACATTGCAGCAGTAAGTGCGCTGTAATTTTTGCAAAAGGAAATCAGTGTCACAATGACAAAAGTTCCACATCGTTTTCATTTCTGAGTGAGAAATGATCTACTTCATTTCTGCATGTATTTTCACCATACAAAAACATTTTAATTCGGTCAAGTTAATACAAAGTAATATTTGTAGGAAAATTCCGTTGACGTGATATCGACACCCTTGCAAAACTTTCGTCGTGCTGATTGTACTAAATCAAAAACCCTTTGACATGGTGAAAATACGTGCAAAAATAAAGCGGAGCATTCCTCAATATGAGAGGAAAACGATAAGAAAATGATTACTATCATGTGTCGTGCCCGTGTTGCCGGGACACGAAGAAAAAGTTCGAGATCGGTGTTGCGGGCGCGGCAGGGTGTGTGGCGGTGGATAAAATGTAGTAAAAGTTTAGACTACCTTTTGTAGTAATATATATATAAAGGTTTATTTGATAAATACACTTGTATGTGTTTTAGTTACAACTCCCGTACTTATGAGTTAATATGCGAACCGCGCGTAAGTCACGTATGACGCGTATGTCGCGGCGAGAGACCGAGATGTTAAGCCTAGCTCGGGCGGTCTTCTCCGCTCTTTTATAATATTGTTTTAGACTTGTCGGAGGGGGTGCCTGGCAACAAGCACATTACCATATTTGGTAATGGTGTAA